GGTAACAGGTTCTCACTTGGCCTCCTTTTGACCAATATACGGCTATCACTGGTTTCTTGAAGTTGACCTTCGTCTATCAACTCTTCATTTACGAGCAGTAACCAAAGCAGAACCAGCTTTCATCAGAAAATACAATAGATCTCCACTCCGTCCTCCAGTGAGCTCTTACTCGACACCGTAAACGGCAGTGATTTGGAATGAAAGCTACAGGGCATCTCGCTCGGAGTTGTACTTGAAGTAGCCGATTTTTCACAATTCGTTGTGTCCCTGTAGTGCCAACTGCAGCTCGAATTTCTGATGCAGGCTCAGTACGGTGCGCCACAGCCATACAATGTACACGGTGGTCTTTCCTCTGAGTAGTGCCGAGTGGCTGCCCAGAACCCGGCCTTCTTCAAGCTGTACCTTTTCTTGACCACTACTACCAACAATCTTGTACAGTGAGCAGTGGTGACTCAGGGGATAGAGCATTCGCCTTTGAATGAGGTGATGAACTGGTTATGAAACCCAGCGGGGGTTGGTCGATGCGAATACCCTGCTCGCACCGACCACAGTGCTGACATAAAATATCCTCAGTGGTAGACGGATCATGGGTTAGAGTCCCCTTGCCCTTATGCTAAATGTTTGAGGTTTTCCTTTCCATGTGGTTTTCCTCTCAAATGCGGGCTAATTCCCTCAAAAAGTCCTCCACGAAGACAAATTTTACCCCATACTTGATCCAGGAGTTCCCTTGTCTTCTGGATTGGGTTCAAAATTCCGAGTCTATGAAGTTGAACATTAGTAGTCGGAAACCCAAAAATTGGGTAAGCTGCTCAACGACGGTTATAAAATAAAATCCTGCACAGTGCAGTGGATACATTTCTCTCCAGTTTTTCTGCAATATCGCGGAAAGAAAATCCACCTTCTCGTAGCCCTATTACACTACTACGTTCAAAGTCAGTGAGCTGTTGATAATTGATAATGGCTTCTTTTTCTTCTTAAAGGCACTTTTGACTAACAGCAACTCAGTATGACAAAATTTAGCGAAAAATAACTCTTACAAACTGTAAAACACGTATGTATTTAAAACAAACCTGATTTGCATTTTCACAGTGGTGCTACTAGCCTCCAAACTTGTGCGCCAAGCTCGAAATATAAATAGACGTAATCTTTTTGTTGTATAAACAAGCTGTTGTACAAGAATTTAGTTTATCTAGTACAAATTACTTTATCTAGCACAACTCTTTTTTGGCGTTGGTCCTATTCCGTCAGTGTAAATATATATATATACAGTGAATTCGCGATAACTCGAATCTGATAGGACTGACGAAAAACTTCGACATATCGGAAGTTCGACTTACCGTTAGTTTCGGTTTTGGACTTTCAAAATATTGTCGGATTATTTAATTAATGCTTATTAATTACAAATCTTCTAAATGCTTACAATATTTAAGATCATTTTTCTGACAAGCCATTTACGATAAGACTGTTNAGCTTAATAAGCTTATATTAGGTATATATAAGCTTATAAAGGTATATATAAGCTATATATAAGCTCAAGTTACTTGTGTTTAGCGGTGGATAAAATTACTTTAATTCTAATTTATTAAAACATAACTACATTATCCTTGCTGCCATAAGCAAAAATATTTTTTGAAACGACATGGAATCCGTAGTAGTTGTTCAGTAAATTTAATTCAAACTTTTTTTCTTCTTCACTGCATGTGAATGATTCAAAAGTTCATACTATAGTAACTTTATTCCAGTTCTTTCCTGGCGCAGTTTTTAAAAGCTAGGCGATATAACCCAAAAATCTGAATGCTTGTTTCTGATTAATTTTCCACCGCTCATGAATATGTTTTGCCAAAAAGCGCTGTAGTTGGCAGCTTTGCACCTCTGAAAATGAGGGAAACGCAAATCTTGTTGACTATATTAGATAATTTTTTTTTTAAAAATAAATAATAATCCAACCATGTATTTTTAGAGGGCGTTCTCGGTAAGTGTTATTGAACTGTATATTTTTTTGACGATGATAAATGTTTGTTCAATTTTTAATTCCAGTTCTTATAAAATTTTGAATAGTCGAGCTCCATTAGCTAAAGTTTTACAAGTTTTCAGACTAAGAAAATTAAAATTGCAGCAATTATGTATTTCATTCAGGTGTTCAATTGAAAAACACTTCAGATGCTTTTTTATTTTAAAGATGATAAAAAAAAAATTAAACTCATGTGTTTAAAGATAGAAAAAAAATTTTTTTGATACTATTTTGTTCCAATTATAAAAAATTTTATCAATTATTTGTGGTAAAAGTAAACACATCAGGATTCTTAAAGATGAAAAACTTCTTTTCCATCGTACTTAAAAATCTGAAATTGAGTTTCCAGGGATTCATTTCATTGATATTAAGATTATTTAAGTAATTGAATAAAATATCAAGTTTAAAGAACTTTACTGTTTATTTTCAATTTTAAATTTATAAAAGTTTATTATGTTTATGTTTATATAAATAGAATAAAAGGCACGAACTGCTCCAAAAAGTATACAGTAATTTCGAAAATATTTAACACTGTTTTTTCGCGAAATACAACTTCATTTTACTTGACTGAAAACAAATAATTGTGATTTTTTTAATAATTGAGTGACGAAAATATTTTTCTTTACGTTATTCAAACTGAAGGTGATATTGGTGCTTAATGATATCATTAATTCCATCATCGAAAAATTCTTTTGTGGCGAATTCCACAACCCTTTTTATTTCCAATGAGCTGCACAATCAGTCTTGCCGATGAGCAGACCTAGTGCGTTCTCCAGAGGTGGTATCCACTCTTTCAGGACCACCACAATGGGTAAGATACCGTTGGTCATGTTAATTTGGACGTCTAGTTTCTGCCACACTAGATGGCAGCACCGAGACTCTATTTGGATGCTAAAAATACCACAACCTAAAGGACAGCTTTTTCTCACTCGGGTGTTATTGATTTCAAATATTTAGAACATTCGATTTGTCCTAATGTGGTAAAATTATGAAGGTATTGAAAATTATCAACTTAGACAGTAGAAATTCTCAGTAAGCAAGCCTTAAAAATGTTCTAAAAGATTGAATTAATCGAGCTACTTCAATAATTTTCAATTTACTAAATACACTTATTCGGTCAAATGGAAAAACAACGTAAATGCAAGTTTTTCATGAAACATTACGTACGTTGTTTTTTTCCTTCCAATTTTCAGTATTACTGTTTAAAAATTTACTAGTTATTTTCTATGGCATTTCTAAATTTTCAAAGTAGTATTTAATTCCAATCTTGCATATTTTTATAGGAGGTCTTATAAATAGTAAGTAAATCAGTTCATTTATGAAATAAAATACTAAATTCTTTGTATTGACTTTTCCAATATCCTAAATATACTATATGACTTATGAAAAAAAAAAGACTTATCTCAATAGATTATTTATTTCCCATTTGGGCAAGGTGAAATTGACTCCGATTATTTTTTCCGACTCGAAATATGAAATGTTTCGTTGTGTTTTATAATATTGTTGTATTCTATCATGAATTCCGCACCTTTTTCTGGGATATTATTGGCAATCACATGGTTTCTGATTACTGTAAGGACATGTTAATAATCAAAAAGCAATTTTTAGAATAATTCGAGCTATAAAATCGGACGGTATTTTAAACCACTTGAAGAAAATCATAAGCTCTTTGCTCCAAAAAAGTTACTTATTTTAATTACAAGCTAGGAGAGAATAGTACCAAGCTAATATTTGTAAATATACAATTATTTCTTACAATTATTTCACCGAATCAAATGAAATACATTACGAAACATAAATATTTTTAAGTAATAAATAGATGTTACTATTAAACTTTCTTACATGTCTAATCATGCTTTTGCCTCCATAAATGCTATAACTTACACCTATATGTAATACGATTGACGCAATAATTAGAAGTGTTTCAATAACCAGAACTGCCAACGAAGTGTGCAATAAATTATGGCGTAAGGATGACGTGTGATGAAGGATGAAAATATTTAGAAGCTTCTACCTTGAATATATACCATTACTAGAATAGAAAAAAAAGAGATGGTCTTATATAAAAAATTAAACTTGCATGTAGTATATATTTCTATCACTAAAGGTAAAATTGTTTCAGACATTTACAATACGTTAAAGCAAAGACTATAAACGTTTCGACTACCAAAACGGTCATGGACGTATGCAATGAACTATTATGAATGGACTATTATAAAGGTACAATTGTTTCAGACATTTCATATATGTTAAAGCAATGACTATAAACGTTTCGACAACCCAAAACGGTCAACGACGTATGCAATGAACTATTATAAATGAGCTATTATAAAGGTACAATTATTTCAGACATTTACAATACGTTAAAGCAAAGACTATAGAGGTTTCGACTACCAAAACGGCCGACGACGCATGCAATGAACTATTATGAATTGGCAACGCATGATGGGTGGAACCAGTCAACCTTTTTGTTTTCTTGGTAAATATTTGACCCAATTTTTGTTGATTTTCGAAGCACGAAAAGAGTTTCAACTAGTTCTGCAAAAGAGCTTTACTTGCTTATTTGTATGAGTGGGACAAGCAAGCTTCAAACCCAGTATTTGCTTAATTTTGGAACAGTGTTACGGCAAATATTTACTTTTTGGCTAAGAGCTCGGTTGACAGTTAACTTCGTTATGTTATAAGGAATGGTTATAAAAAAAGAGTATTTCATATTTCGTATACCCTTTCGCTTTCTTTTGTATTTATCAAAAGTTTAATTACTTTAACATTACTAACTGAACTATTACTTGAACTCGAAATCAGTTAGTTATCAAACTTTATTGTAAAATATTCAAGTGCATTGAATTTTTCAAATATATATTTTTCCTTTAGCTTTGGGAAATGGACGTAAGTTTACAGAATTATATTTATTTTATTAAATGAAAACAAATGTATATAAATCAATCTTAAAATTTATTTCTTTTTTCTTAAAAAAATATTTTTTTAAGTCCAAAAATAAGGAGAAACAAATATGAAATTTAGGTTACTGATATATTTTAAATTTAATATTTCATTTCTATTTAAGGAAAATAAATGTTCAATTTATTACCTTCATTTCAGTTGGATCTATAGTTCAAAGTGAGTATATAGCTTTAAAATTGTATATTATGTATGAATTATATTTTGTATTATTATAATATATACAATATGCATATTATGTATATCCAGTATTTCAACTAGTTTAAACTATTGAATATTTTAAAAAGTTCTGAAATATGTAATGTCTATGATTAAAATGAGATAAAGATATAGATCACTTTATAAAACACATTACTGAAATATTAGAACTTCTCAATATCTAAAGTATTAATTAAGTTTAGTTAGTTAAGTTAAGTTTTAAAAATCAGGATAAAATTTTGAAATATCTCTTACTTAGACATCGTGGTGGCTAAATGATTTTAAATCACAATTATTAAACAAAAATGTAAAACGTAGAGGGAGCTATATTAAACCGGGACTAGGCTTTTTCTATTTGACTACTGCTAACATTTATCAGTAATTACATGAATTTATATTCCTTGTTAATAGAAAAGGCTCTTCAAGGTCTCAATTTCCCAACTCTTTAAACTTTTTCCCTTTCCGCTACCATGGTTTCGGTAAATCTTGCTTTTTCTTCTTCTTCTTCTTTTTCGAGAGAAATGAATTTATATTAAATTAATAAAATTGATAAACAAAGAGATGTAGCATTCCATTTAAATTAACAGTTGTTTTACGTTATTACTGGAAATTTTATTTGACACCAATCTTATAACAAAGATTAATTTATTTTTAACATTCTATAGTAATTCAAAAAAAAAAATCCTAAAATTTCATTGTCTAAAGGAATTCTTGTAAAATTATCATTAAATGTCATAATTTAAATAAAAAAATCATAAATTTATATTTTTATCCTTATAGATGTGGCTAACGGTGGTAAGTGTTCTAATTTATAAAGTTGTTATTTAATAATACGAACATCGTATAGGACAGCGGTTAACAAATTTTTTGGATTACGGTTCCCTAGACGATTAACCTCCGTTTGGCGGAACCTCGCCTTGAGTTTATCAAATATATTGGCCGAAAAAAGCCAATATAGTCTAACACAAACCATGGATTAACAGCCGTGATGGCTCAGGGGATAGAGCCTTTGCTTTCCAATGTGGTGAACTGGGTTCGAATTCTAGCGATGGCTGATCAAAACGAATACCGCATCCGGCTTGCACCGTCCACAGTGCTGACGTGAAATGTCCTCCGTGTTAAACGGAGAATGGGTTTCAGGTTAACTGTGGGGAAAACAGGGATCTAGTTCCTACCCAAGCAACAACATCTCCTTCAGGAGCTCCAAATATACGCTTTTAAAAGCATTAATTAGTCCTTTCTTCTAGCTAAATCTTATTAAAAACAGGATGTAATTCCCCATGGCATCTCCGGTGAGTCTTTTCCGGCCTCTGGCGGGCCTATTTTTCCATTTCTGAGTGTTTGAAATCCGATGTTCCATTGATCTAGGCTTAGAGTATCAGGCCGCCATATTAACATGTCATCCACTGCAAGTGGATTCCATCGCAATGTTCAACAACTAATATTTTTTTATCGTCTTCATTTCCGGCTCAAAACACTTCATTGCATTCGCCCATACGATTATATTTCCTATTTTATAAAGTTTTAACTTTCCGGTGACCTGGTACTCTCATAATCAGTATCTTTTTAAAATATGTCACGTATAGGTATAGGCTGTCGCTATGTTGAAGTTTGTCATTTGTAAACGCTGACTTTGTACACTTTAAATAATATCTTATCGTTGGTATTTTAGTCTAATTTTTTTATATGTCTTTCCCCCAACTGTTTTTGATCGATCGCCATTATAAATTTTAAAATCACATCACTTTTCAATGTTAACTGATGTTCCATTCCCCATAGCGACAATCTAAACAAATTTCATGAATACAATTACAGTTAAGTGCTTCTCATCACGCCTTTTCCATCATTTCTTTATTAATTAATTTTTTAGTATCTTTCAATCTTCTCGATAGATATACCAAATGTTTGTTGTCACATTCCAATATCAAAGTCAGTGTTTACAATGTCATTAGTTTTTGTTTCTTATTCTACATATGTTCTTTCAAAGCTTTTTAGTATCATCTTACATATATTAGGGCATTATTTTTCTTCATTATGTTTTACTTGTGTACCATTAAAGTTTTATTTTGCATTTCTGTATATTTTTAATCTAACTATGTTACTAGTATGTACTTCACTATTATCAACATATGTTTGCACAACGTCCAATGGAACAGTACTACATAGCTTAGGGCTATACTCTTTCTCCAGTTTCCAGTACATCAGAAGAAATTTGCTGCGCTTCAATAACTTGTTTTAATGACATTCCCTGGCCATACCATTTGCCGAAGCATACAATCACGTTTAGAACAACATTCTTTCTATCTCATTTTATTTTTATAAGCTAGTCAATGTCGATATAGCGACCGCCTATACCCATATCATTTAACATCTTCTTTAGTCAACATCTCTGGCCAAGAGTCAATCTGATGCATAAAAATTTTAATTCTTGTTCAAATGTATTTAT